CTCGGGAGCCAATGACGGGGACTGCAATGATTTCCCTGCCAATCAGAGCCCGAGAGGGGCTCAGACGACAGTGATCCCCGACCACCCTGGCTCTCATCTGAGGCACACGGGGAGGTGGCGCACCCGAGGAGACTAGAAAGTGCAGGTCCTTATGTACATGGGTGAAGCCACTGTCAGTGTTAATGTCGAGGAAGGATAAAGACATGAAACACATAACCACTAACACAGAGGCCTCGGCCGCCGAAGCCTGGGTCTGTACTGACACGATCTCCCCGACAAAGGTGGTCAGAGCCACCACTCATTCCCCAAGTCCCCACTGTCCTCACCCCACTGGGACCCACACGCAAGCTGGGGACATTGTGGGCAGTCCTCAGTGGGACCCCCACGGGGTGCTGTCACGGGAAAGTAAGTGTCTCAGGGTCTCCTGTTCCTTGTACATATTTAAAGCTGAAATTTTAAAAATTCAGAATGGGAGGTAGCATAGGGTGCAGAGAAGAGGAAACTCAATGCTATTTGCTGAAATAATGGAAAGCAGACACACCACACGCCCACCTTAGAGTACTATCCGCAGCTACTTCCTGAAATCTGAGTTCGAATGGCAGTCATGGAATGGAGGAGGGAGAGATGGAGGGATTTTTCAGTCTGTTCTCCCTTTTGGCTAGACCTGCCTCAGTTGCTCTGAAAGATCTGGAATATGGCCTTTAACGATGAACATGTTCTGAGTCCCTTTAGCTGGAGTGTGTGTGTGTGTGTGTGTGTGTGTGTGTAAGTGTGCAAGTGTGTGTGCAAGTGCATGTGTAAGCGTATTTACAGCATCTGTGCTGGCACTTGAAACCTCTAGTTTTTTTATTTTTTGTTTTGAGATAAGGTCTCGCTAAGTTGTTAAAATTTTCCAGACTGGGCTTTAACTTAGGATCTTCCTGCCTCAGCCTCCCAGAGTGCTGGGGTTATAGGCATGTGTCACTGCACCTGGCTTAAAAGATCTTTATAAATCAATTTCTCAACACTTAAAACCAGAATTTTAGAAAACTTTCTCTGGCTGATAATTCAAATATTTAATTTTGCTTTTAAGATCATGCTAAATTAGTCTAGAAGCAAAACTGTCCAGTACTGTTCCAGAGATTCCCTTGTTGATGTTATGATCAGTTCTGGGTCTGATAAACATTTAGACCACAGAGAATTCAAGGCTGAAACCAGTTCCAACTTGGCAGCATTACAGATAGATAGAGTTTATAGCTAAACTCTTACAACACCATTTCCTCCCCTATCAAAGCCTTAAATCCCCTACATTTGCTGAGGTTAAAAAGGTAAAATGCAGAAAGATACTAGTAGGTTGTGATAACAATTCCATAATACTTTTGCTATCAAAGAGCAGACATTTTAATAAAACTGGATGCCACAAGGAGAAATTCTGCTCAACATTTTGAACTTTCAGCTGCTCACCAGGGCAAGTGGTTAGATGTAGGTATTTAAGTCCTATTAAACACAGAAGCTTATTGCGAGAAGCAACAGATTATACATACAGTATTTTTTAGCAGGAGCTTTGGGCTCACAGAACGAATGATTAAAATCAAGTCTTTCCCCCCAGCCAACAGGCTGCCTTTCAGGCAAGGGTGTGTTGGAGGGGAGTGTTCTTGACAACCTCACCAAAGTCTAGTTAAATCCAGACACGGCTGGTCCCAAATCTCTTTAGGAGCAGTGTGGTGGCACAGATGTGACCACAGAGAGCAGGGTGGACTCCAGTCAAGAGCTGTCCCGTCTCCTGGCCCAGGAATGCGTTCCTCACATCAGCATCTCCAAAGGCCTCACTGGAGGGCAGGAGACAGGTCCTAGCCTATGGTTGCCTGCTACCCACTCCAGGCAGGTTTTTAATGTATTCTCCGTGCCTCCGCCTCGTCTGTGAAGTGAGGACTGCTGCTACACTAGCCCCGACACATCACAGCATTGTTATGACAGTGATGGTAGGAAAGCATTTTATAAACCATGACGCTACCAGCTACCACAGACAAATGCCTCGGAACCTTTGCTGAAGAACGGCTCTTAACCATTGACCCCATTGACATTCACGCCTTTGTGGCTGTTGTCACCACACAAGCTTAAGTAGACAGCCTCACTGGAGACCATACCTTCCTGAGCTTTAGCACAGAGCCACCCCAGCAGGTAACCTACTTTTGTTCTTAGGTCTCATGCTGGGTATAGAGGTGCACGCCTGGGAAGCTGAGGCAGAAGGATCACATGTTCAAGTCCAGCCTGGGTAAATTAGCAAGACCCTGTCTCAAAATGAAAAATAAAAAAGGGGCTAGGGATGCAGTCCAATGCAAGGCCACAGGTTCAATGCCCAATACCACACAAACACCTCCAACGTAGAAACATGTATCAAGCGTCTGGCAGGGCATTTGTAGAGCACACTTTCCATCCCTAGAGCACAGGTAGTGCGTACTCCCTGCAGCTCGAGAACACAGAGTGGGCCGAAGGGAGTCTGTCTTAGGAAATGAGATGGCACACGACGCCTCGTCGTGTCTTACAGGTGTGCATTGTCACAGGCAGGCGGTACTTACACACTCGGTGTGCACGGGATGGACGGCAAACAGCAGAGCCGCCAGCAGGGATGCTCTGGGGGCCAGGTGCACCCTCTGGCCTTTGCTGGTGTACTGCAGGCCGCCGAACAGCACAGAGAAGACGTCCACCATGAGCACAGAGATGCCGCCGTGCAGGAGGATGTTGACCACGTGGAAGCCCACGGGGTGCAAGCCTCCCGACAGGTAGGAGTTCATCCTGCAGCATCCAGGGCATTCGGCAGCGGCAGTGTGCACAGAGACATGGAAAGCAGGAGAGTAAGGCCTTGTGCCTCTTTGGTAAAAGAGCACCACGCTATTAATGCCTATCAAGCTAAGCAGGCCGGAGAAACCGTGTGAACACAACGAACCGCGGAGCGGAAATCAGAAGCGAGGGACATATCCCAGGGGTGGAAAATCAAAAGCTAGGCAAGTTTTTAAGTACAAAAAAGGAAGGTCTGCATTCTAAGAGGACATAATATATCACATATGACTTCCTCAGGGACTGGGTTTTCAAGTAACCTGATTACAACAAAGCGTTCTCAACAGTATGCCAGTCTGCCTTTGCCATCAAAATACCTCCTTGCCACCAGCAATTCTTACTTTTGCTGGTTCCAATTCATCCCTCCAGCCTCTCAGAGATCTGTATACTGGATTTAAAAGCACCTAAGAAACAGCATGGATGAGAACCTCTGCGAGGTGATTAGCTCTAGTTAATACAACAGTTCCTTAATTAACAGGGACAGAGGCTGTTTGTAAGCTTCATTTTTGTTTGGCAAACGTGCTACCGTCAGACGATTTATATCTTATTCTCATTTTTTTGTCAAGAAAGTAAATCCCATGCCCCGTGCTGTTGTGATCCACATCAGCTCGTGCCCTGGGTGTTAACCACGTTGCCAAGGGTGGACTCTGAGAAAGGCAAAGACGGGGACTGCTGCACTGCCCAGGGCAGCGTCTAGTGCAGGCCGTCTGAGGTCCCTCGCTGCTCCAGCCCCAGTCCATGCAGCTCCCTCTGTGGTCCCCTCCCCAATGCCCCATCTCCTGGCGGCCACATTCCAAGAGCTGGAGTTGGTGTGGACTTCGTCCAGTGCACGAGTGGCCTCTACCTCCCAGGGCACCACCCCCCGACTTCCCATGGGTACCTGGCGACACGGCCGTGGGCAAATGTCACCCGCAAGCCTTGGAAGAGCCCCCCCGCCGTGACAGCTCACCTGAAAGTCAGGACGGTGAGCGGCCGGTAGGACTTGTGGCTGGTGTTGCTGCTCAGTCTGCTGCCCCAGAAGTCATGGTGCCACAGGTCTCCCAGGGGCGTGTCAGCCTGGAGGTCCTGCAGGGACATCAGGGGACATTCTGGACAGCCCTGTAGCAAAGCTTTCTCCAAGCCCCCCTGCCTGCCCACGACCTCTAGCTCCTCACGGGCCCTGGGCCAAGCCCCGTCTCCCACTCAGACGCAGCCAGGCTCTTGTGGGGCCGCTGCTCCCTCTGACGTGCTCTCCAAGCCAAAGGCTCCAAGAGCGCTGCGGCTCACCCCGCCAGGTCGGCTTAGCGCACTGCAACAGCTCCCCACAGAGCCAGGACAAGCTGAGGTCCTGGTGGGGCCACCACAGCCCGAGGTGCTCTGGCTCCCTCTGGCCAACTCTGCCCCTGCCCCGCTCCTGTGAGCTCTCACCCGAAGGTCCCTGGATCAGCGCCCTGAGTGAGCCCACCCGTCCTCCCAGGGTCTCGGCCTATCTCCCCCCATCCTCACAGTGCTCAGCAGTCTGGTAGCTTCCAGCCCCTGTACTGTCCGTTTGGAGCGTTGGACTGGAGCTCCACAGGGCCTGGAGCTCCCCTGACACTACCGGGAGGACACAGAAAGGACGGGATATGTCAGACGACAGAACATTTAGCTAAGGAAGGTCTCCGTTATCCTTTCACAGCCAATTACCAAAGCAATTTAGCAAAAGTATCAGCACTCAAGCATGACTGCGCATAAACATTCTTCTTAGTTTTCCATTTTTGATCATAGATTACGCTGTGAAATTAGAAAAAAAAACACTTCCATATAATTTTCAAAGATAAAAATCACTATCTAAAAATATCTGTGCCTATCTTTCAGCTGAGGTAATTTAATTTGGCACTATACCAAATATACTTCGAAATGCATCTTTTACCTTTAGAATACAAAACCACATGCACGTGAAAGGCAAACAAGGCAATGTAAAGTAAGTTGGAAATCTGGTTGTTAATTTTATCTTTAAAGCAGAATTGAAACAGGATGTTTTAGGGAGGAGAAATTAGAATGCAGCTCGATGTGGTGGCACACGCCTATCATTCCAGCCCTCTGGGAGGCTTGAGGTAGGAGGGTGGCAAATTTGAACCCAGCCTGGGCAACTTAGTGACTTGGTGAGACCCTGTCTCAGAATAGAAAAAAAAAAAGGCTGGGGAAGTAGCTCAGTACAAAGGCCCTCGTACTGTCAAATAAAAAAAGGATGTGCTAAACGTTGTATCTGTGAGGATCCCTCCTTCCGGAATGGAAAAGGCTGATGGACCAAGGCGCAGAGCACTGCTTTAGAGGGGCTGGAAGCTCACAGGCTCACGGGCACTGGAAATCCAGGTTGGGGCTGTGCAGTGGGAGCACAAAAGCACTCGCCACGCCACCAGACACCCCCGCCCCACCTCTTTGCACGACTGGCTCTGGCTCCAGCAAGTGGCCGCACCAGCTTCCTCATCAGCAGTCTCTAGAGCCCGGGATGCCCCTCGAGGAAGGGCCAGCTGCCCTCAGCTGAGTGACAGCTGCACCAAGAGGACCGAATGCCCATGCTGCCCTGCAGTGCAGTACTTCCTACGTAGTGTTCACTGGCTCAAAGGGGAAGCCTGGAGATGAGGGGACAGGTGCAGAGTTTGTCACCTGATAGCCACTGTCAGGGCGGCTTTCCCTTCCATTGAGATCAGCTGCAGAGGCTGTGAGCGAACCAACCGCTCCATCGCAGGGGTCCTCAGAGGCTGAAAGTCCCGCACTCCCCCTGCCAACTTAGTGGACTCAGGAAGAACCAGGGGACTCACTTCTGCAATATCACAAAAGTGCTCGCTCAGCTGCAAAGCGACTGGGTGCAGATCTCCCTCTCCCTCTGAAGGGGAAAACAACACCAGAAAGCTCTAAATATTTGATTAGGCACAAACTATGCTGTGCAACCGGGAGTGCGACTGCAAAAAAAGGCCAATTTTTCCTCATAATGGTTTATGGAAATGACAGATTGTATCTGAGATTCCTTCCACTTCCATGGTCTCAAAGGAGATCACCGTCTCAAGGAGCAAAAAAAGGCAACTCAACACTGCACGGAAGCTTTTAGAAAAAGTCTTTAAGGGCCATGGAGTTAGCTCAGTGGTGCCACTGCCTGCCTCGCAGGTGCAAGGTTCCAAGTTCGATCTCAGGTACAAAAAAAAAATATGAGGCCTGGGATTTAGATCAGTGGTTCCGCCACCTGCAAGCTCAAGGTCCCCAGTACCAAAAAGAAAAAAGAAAGAAAAAAAAAAAAAAGAAAAGTCTTTAACACCACCAGCCTGGTGAAGAGCCAGTTCGCACCCTGCAAGCACAGGCCTTCCTCAAAAGAGCAGAGGAGGAACGTGGAGCACAGGGCTGTGCAACACACGCATTGCCCAGACCACAACCAGCAGAGCTACAAGATGCAGAAGTGAGATATGTCAGATACATCCAGGCGTACGGCACCCACACCCTGCCCAGCTCATGCTCTCTCCTGCCCGCTAAGGGGAATTTTCCAACTTCCATTCTGAATTCACGTGACATATCCAAGGGGACGAGTCAAGAAAGTCACAGCAAAATGAGTAACAGAATTTTAAAAACTAAAATCACATTCTCACTACAAAACAATTCTGTGGCTAATAAAGCCATCGGTTTGCCAATTTTGCTTTAGAGCTGTGTATTTATTTATTTATTTTTTGGTACCGGGGATTGAACTCGGGTCCTTGCACTTGCAAGGCAGGCCACCGAACCGCTGAGCTAAATCCCCGGCCCTAGAGCTGTGTATTTATTTATTTATTTTTTGGTACCGGGGATTGAACTCGGGTCCTTGCACTTGCAAGGCAGGCCACCGAACCGCTGAGCTAAATCCCCGGCCCTAGAGCTGTGTATTTTTTTACAGCATGGTTTTAAAAAGAACTGAAATGGAATCATCTGTTCTCACTGCTGGGTGAACTTGAAGGAACCACAAATGAAGACCTTGGAAGGAGACATCAGCAACGCTCTAGTTTATGCCATCAGAATGAAAAAACTGCAACATTATGTTTCAAACAAAATGCCTGCAAATCAATCCCCCCTCCCATAGCGTAACTGCTTCTTACAGTTTTCCTCAACATTTTCAAAATAAACACCACCATCCTCCTTCAGTGGAATCCACAACTCCTGCTTTTAAGAGCACCCAACTACCCAACAGCAGTGCTGCCAAGTTGTTACCGCTACTTTTTCTGGAGAAAAAGGTGGGTGTGCTCCAAGTCCCTGTCGCTAATTAAGCAACACACACAAACTGTCTGCTGAGTAACTGACTGTCACAAAGGCCTGTCCTCATGTCACTCCCAAGTTCTTTCTGCTCTGCGCCTTCCCTGCCTCTGAGCTTGTTATTCTGATTTCCCTTTGGTTTATCTGACTCTTTTTCTTCGCTTTCCCAAAACTGCTTTCTTCTCCCTGAGCTGGTTAGCTGGTGAAAAAGAGCAATTTCCCTGTACTGACAGCTGCAACTGGTGAGTGAGGCTGACTAAGATTTTGCGAGTTCAGCAAGCCTGCGTCTTCAAACACGAAATGAGCAAGAACTGCAGCTTCCCCAGGCAGCACGTGCACGGCCCTGGCAGCTGTCAGCAGGCTGTCCTCAGTCTCCATCAGGGCCAGGCAGAGCCAGCCCACTGCTGCGGACGCACCTTGCATCCCATGCATCACTGCACAATCGCACCATTTTCTTTCCTCTTTGGCCAGCTAGGGAAATTGTTCATAAACCCTGGAACACTCAGTCTGCAGTGCCCCTTGACACCTTGGCCCTGCAATCTTAGAATGGCCTCTCTGAACCACGGAAGGACCAGGCCTCACGAGGTTAAGAGGCGGTTGGTGATCAAAGAGGCACGGAATTAAGGAGATGACAGCCAAAGAGATGGGACAATCTATAGCACCACTGGGACACCTGCCTAACTCAACACCACGCTTAATTCACGCAGGCTGGATTCGACAGCAACTCAGATGATCCCTGTGACACAGGCCCGTGGGTAACATAAGAAAAGAGTCCAGATACAAACCTTGTTATTAACAATAGCTTCAGAGTCGTCAAAGACAAAATCTCCATCATAGCTCCGTGCAAAACACAGGAGGGAAACAAATCCCACTACTAACTTAGCCCAGAAAGGGGGAAGGACAGAGGACGGGATGATGTGATCCAAATCGGCATCCAGCTCGGCCATCGTGAAAACAGCGTGTTGTCGGTCTCTTGCTCCAGCATTATGCTGGCTAGAAGTCTGCAAGAAAAATAACGTCGCACAAATATTCATCAGTGTGCTGTGAGGGCTGCTTCTGTTTCAGCACAGCTAGAGTCACCTGTACTGCAATTTTATAGGATCTGATCGTGAACAGCCTTAACTTGTGGTTTTCAAACTCTGATGTGCTAAAAAGCCACCCGGGACAGGCGGGTTCCTGGGCCTCACCACGACCTGTGCGTTGAGAAGCCCTTTGGTTTCTCTGCCAGGTGGGTGTATCCCTTAGAAACCCATTCAGTGGGATGCTGCATGTCCCAGGATCTGCCCACGGAAGCATCTTCAACCCCGCCTAACTGCATTCAACGACAAGTGGCTAGAAGACAAATCATTCTTAAGAAAGCTTGAGTCAGTTTACAAAGCTTAGAAAAAGTTACCATCAACTTCATCACATTAAGAAAATACTGACTACTGGGTCTAGACACATGGTGTGTTTGTGCGGGGAGAGGTATGATGTACCACACACAATCCTGACTGGGGAGAAGCTCACAATCTGGGTAAACGGAGGCACACTCGCCAGTTAGGTGAGAATATGGGAGGGAGAAAGGGAGGCAGAACAAACGACTATGTGTTAGAGACTCACGCACAGAGGCAGGCAGGCAGAGGAAGCGACCACTTTGGGACAATACCTCACCCAGAAAGAAGAGGGGAGGCAATTCTGCTGACTTTCTGTACCGGAAAGCTGTCAAAAACATAACTTATTCTGCATTTTCCTCTCAAACAAGCAAATTGTGCCTATTCGTTGAGCGATCCCGTCCTCTACTATGGCACTCTGAAAAGACTAAAAACTTTCCAGCTGTCTAAGAGCTTCCGGCCTTGGAATTGGCTCAAACATTACACTATCCCGCAAATCACATGGATGTGGCCCATTCTCCCCTTAACTTTAGTAGATGCTTGTTTTCTTAAGATTTGCTGGGATCATGCCTGCATCAGACTGATTCCAATCTTGTGTAACTGTGGGCAACTTACTAACCTCTCTGGGCCTGATTTCTCCCCTCTAACCAGGAGTGGCAGTGTTTACCTCAGGTGGTTGTCGTGTTTTAATGAATGCTCAGGGGAAGTGACCTATTACCACACTTTCTTTCATGTGCTTGAACAAGATTTTCTTCGGAAACCTCCTGCAGTACTACTTACTGCTCACTCACCCAGGCTCTTGTCTTCCCCACTCCGAACTTGGCCCCCGTACCTCTCATACTGAGATGGAAGAGGATCCCAGCCCTTTATCTGGGTAGGCATCTTGGAGGTCTCTGTTTCTAGATCTCTAAGTGAATGTTCTAGATCGTGCAATCAATAAGAAGCCAGCCGAATAAAAATCTGAGGCCACATCTATCTGTGATGATGCAGCCAGATCAACAGGCAGCAGGACGCACTGCTCCATGGCAACACTGGGCCTTTCCAGGGGCAGGAGGTCCAGATTTACAATCCAGAGATGAAAGATGCCCATCTCTTGAGCCCTGCCAGCTGATGTAAGGCATGCTCTCGGCAAGTGCCAGGGGAATAGTCCAGCCACTCTCTGCCGCCTACTTTTCCAACAAAAGGATAAACCACTGCTCAAATCCAGACGGTTACAAACACAATTCATGTCACTATGCAGGACCCAGTCACTGTTCACCTTTCAGCTAAAAAAAATTACTTCTGTTACTTAAAAAAAAAAAAAAAAATCAAAAGATTGAATAGGTGGGAAGGTACCGTGACTTAACATGAAGGGAATAAATGTATTGATTTATAAACAGATCTTGAGAGAAATAAATCACTTCTCCTGACTTTAAATCCACAGTAGAGTTGTGAGCTGATAATTATATAATTGGTTTCAATGCTGTTTTAGCCCCAAATATTTGAATATTATTTCACAAAAGTTTGTTCTGGGGTTCAAGTGGCCTCAGAGGAAGACAACTAAGGAAATACTGGCTGCAATGTTAGCCACCACGTCTCTCACTTTCGTCTCACATGGTTCATGACAGACTCATTTTGCTACTCACGTGAGAGCCCAGGTTTCTGCAGGGTGGGCTGTGGGCCATGGGGCCCTGGTGGGACTCCCCCGCCTTTGGGAACTCTGGGACTGGCTGGGCCAATCTTAGAATCGTCTCTTCTGTAGCAGGGACGGAGAGGAACCTGGGGTCTGCACTGTCTCACTCCACCTCTGTATTTTCAGGCCCTTCTCTCAGGGGACTCCTCCTCCCCGGCCTCTAAGACCTCCACTACTTCTCTGCTGCCATGAAAATACAAATATCCCTTTCGTTTCAAGATGGTCAGGTGTATAGTGGAATTGTTGAGAAAATGTTTCCCATTAGCAAATGCAAAGAAAAAAAAAAGCTACAGTGTGTTAGAAACACGCGCAAAGTTCAGACTCCAGTCCAGTGGTAGAGTGAAGGCTCTCTAGCCAGGCACGTTTGTACCTGCCATTCATCATCCCGAGGGTCAATTTCCTCACGAGCAAAAGAGGTTCCACTACTTTCTTCAGAGGCGGTGGTAAAGACCAAAGGAGATAGAGCAGAGTTAGCTGAGTTAGCTTCCATTATTGCTCTGACTTTGGAGAAATTAATTCCTGGTGCCTAGTCCCTGTCTGCATTCTTGGGAACACCTATGCTGCCACCAACTGTTATTCCTATAAATGGGCTCACAGGCCAGGGCCAGCCGCAGCCCCTCCCGTGTGTGGGTGCAATTGAGAAAGGGTCGCGTTCTTTTGGGCATATCCATGGCTCACAGCTTACCTGGGTAGGAGTCTTTATGTCTTGCTTAAAGTGTAAAGCCATTAGCAGTGATCCTGGCCCCAACCCTCCTTCCTCCAACAGGAGATGACTTTTGTTCCACAGTGACTTCTGGTGTTCAGCTAAAAGAAGTGATGCCCACATGAGATGGGAAAGCTGAGTACCAGCTCTTCCCACCCTGCTTTATAACTATGTCATGAGCTTTCCTCCTAATGGGTGCTGGCTGTGCACCTATTATCTCCAGGTATGTCCTGCCTGGGCACCCTGGCTCCTTGGCCCCTGCTACCTGGTCAGTTCTCCTCATGGAGGACCAGCTGGGAGCCACACTGTGGCCCCAGACCAGGCTGTGCTCCACCCAGCTGCAGCGGGGACCAAGCTGGTGCTCTCAGGGCCAGCTGCCTCCTGCGGCCCCTAATCTGGTCAATTAGGACCATGCCAGACGTCTCTTTAGCTCCAATTCCTCAACCTTCTAATATCATCCTCTATTTTTAGGGGGTTAAAAATAAAACTAATCAACCATCAATAAGATAAAAAAAAAACAAAAACAACTCAAGACCAGCCCTCCAAATGTCACCCAGCTCTGAACCACAGGGACCCACTGACAGCTGACAGAGTAGCCTGGATTGCAGTCAACAGGACGAGACTGAGACTAAATAGTTCACTCTGGAAAATTAGCAGCAGCAGCCACCTTCTTTAGAACACTCTTCTGCAGGTAGAGAAGGGCCTGCTGGCCTCTCTACCCCAGCAGAAACAATTCGTCCACACAGCCAGCTGCCTTCTAGAAATCAGGTTAAAGAACACGAGGTCTTCTGACCCAGCATCCGGGGGCCTGGCAGTAGCTCGAACTGGGGAGCTGGTGCTCCTACCCAGGGCATCTTTCCTCTTAGGTGGCACTGGACCAAACGCTGCTGAAGCTATGTGTCCTGGTATGGCTGACTTCAGGTTTTTAATTCAGTGATCCACAAGAGGTCTATGTGTGGTTCCACAGGCTCGGGTGCTGTAACATAAAGTTTCCAGCCTGCTTGCTATCTTGTAGCCATTTTCCCATCAATCAGCCAGCGTGGTCTGCCCTACCTCCACCTGGGCTGTGCCAGCTGGGTTGGCAGAACGCAAAGAGCGGGGCCAGGCAGAAGATCTGGCCGGTCCTTACTATAAACTGTTTCCCAAGGATTTCTCCCCACCCATCTGCTCCCGGAAAGAAGCGAGGTGGTGATGACTCACAGTGGCTAGATCGTGGCTGTAACTCCTCCCTTCTTTTGTGTGAGTTAAAAGAGGAAAGAAAACACACAAGCAGCCCACAGTCACAACATCAACAAGACCAGGCACCCCGCGGATCCGGAGTTCGCTGGAGGTGAGGTTGGGGGTGCACCACCTGCTCGGCTTCCCCAACTCCTAGCCCGGGCCGGGAAGTGGCAGCGCGCTGGCTCCCAGCGCCCCGGCTTGGTGACACCACAGCCGGGCGTGGAGGAGCTGGC